TGTCGAGACGCGTAAGGCCAGCGACTCGTCTAAGAAAGCCCATTTCAGCAGCTCGTACCCGGGTTCGAAGATTTTCAGTGATGGTCCATGATTCATGACCGTAGGTAAGTATGGGGATAAAGATCGACTTGGACACTGAGAGCTATTCTTCAGACTGAGCTCTGCTTTAGTCACAACAGTTGCTAGTTCACGCAGAACGCCACTGGCTACTCCAATTCGCCGGTCGATCTCTTCCGCCAATTTTCTATCACTAGTAAATACAATTCCGAGGTAACTTCTCCACCTGCTCCACTACCTCTTCGTTAATCTGAAGAGAGCAACGGACAGGAGACAAAAGGCACATTTGACTATTAAAAATTTGAGGATAAAAACTGCTTATGATGAAATGTATATCAATGTCACACTGAACCATTGTATATTAAAAGTACGAAGTATCTCATCGGCCTTCTCTTGGAAAGCATGGCTTATTTTCCGCAGATGTTCAACTATCTGCAAAGCTGCAGATTGCTAAGCATTTTTACATTCTTCATGACCGCTGAAACAAATAAGAAGCACAAAAATTTGTCATGGCAAAAATGTTGCAATTAACTCACAAATTATAGCAGGCCAAGGAATAGATAGCAGACAAAATGGCTCGACTGCGCAAATATCATGTTTCATTTTGGGATAAGGAGAACTCCGTTAGTCTTCACGATTGGAGGGTTGATCTATTCTTCAAATTTTCCATCACCAGCAAACACGACCCAGAGGTACTTGAATACTTTAACTTCTCCACATGCTTCACTGCTCCTCAGTTTATCTGGAGAGCAAAGAGCAGGAGAACGAAAAAGAACTAGGCTTTTCGTTTTAGATATGTTCAGACACATGTTGGATACGTTACACTCGCCTGCGAGCTTTACCAAATAGGGCTAGAGAGCAGTTTCGGAAAATGCTAACAAAAGAAGATCGTCCGCAAACAAACTCTTTCCTTTTGCTATACATCTCCTATGATGATAAACGCGCCGTCTCAGTTTTCAGTGCACAATATTAACTTTTTTACTAATCAATCACTTGTTTCAATCTACAGCAGTAGAAGGAACAAGCCTTTTCCTCGGCGATAGTGGGTTTTGAAGCTAGACAAAGTTTCAGCAACAAGACGATCACTCAAATAAAATATAGCTACAATATTCATTTTACAGCAGGATGTTAGTTTTATGAGGTAGATTCCAACTGTGCGGGAAAGAAAAGGTGGATGTGCAAGAGTTCATTTAGTAAAACTCAAAGCGGGCCAAACCTTATATGGCCTTCACTCGACTTGACCGAGAAGAAAAAAACGGGTCTAGTCCAAGATGGCTTGCAAACATGTACGGTAGGTAGAATCTCTGCCAGGATGAGAAGATATGTGATTTCTGTAACAAAGGTTAAAAGATCGATCACATAATCAAAATGCGTCAGAGGCAGATTGTATCGACAGGAACGCTTAGTGTCTTAGCACGCAGAACGTGACTCTATATTAAGAATTACCGGAAAATAAATTCTGCTGTTTCATCTTGGTTCGGTTCCAACAGCGCTAAAGCAAGAATTATAGCGCTTCTATTGGACTGCTGCGTAAGGTCATGTTTGTTATCGCTAAAATCCGAATCGTGAAACAAAGAATCCAGAATCTTCTTCAGTTTATCCAGGCAGTAATTGTCCTTAGAAATAATGTCGGATATGTACGATGCCGTAAAACGAAGCTCGAAAGGCAGCATCATTTGAACCAAACTAGCAACGGTTTCTAAGCGCACGTCTGGCTTCTGCTGGTGAAACCATTGGCAGATTCTTCCCACACATAACATGTCTAAAAGTTTACCTCTTAGAAATGACAGAAAAACTTCAATGAAATGAAACATGAGCTAAATTTTTAGTGCACAGCCTCTTCACTCGCCAGATCAACTAATCTCGTAACTCGCAATCACACAAAGTTTAATTTTAACAGCCGATGAATCATATCTTCAAAGCTTAACTCCAAATTCAGCAACACAGCCATTAACTACAAAAACATTAAACGCGTGAGAACAAGCGACGTACAGTAATCGGGCCAGCGAAAGCCAGTCTTCAATTTCTAAGGCTGTCACTCATGAAAATGCCCACATTTCTTTGAATCGCAATCATTCCTATTCACTCCCAAACAAATGTCCTGATACTTGTGTACTTTTGTAATAAGGAAGCGCATGTTTTAATTTTACCGTAGTGGATTATTCGTTATAATGCAGAATGTTTATTCACCAACTTTTCAGAAATTTTAAACCAGCGTATGTTCTTGCACATCAAACGAAAAATTGTTTATTATAATGCGTACTGGCTATATTTAGAATGATGGCGATATCCATTCAGAGCTCAAGAGGTCGATGTATTATTTGGAAACCTGTCGACTATTTTGGCTGTTAAACGAAACGTTCTTTCCACACATATTCAGTTGTATCACTCCTTAGTCATATAATTTCTTTTGACTGGGCAGCCGTTATGAAAAGAAGTCAATAACGATGACTGAACTATCTACAGCAGTATAAGCTCCAGGGCAAAAAAACGGTGGTAAATGGTAAAATCAGGAAAATAACTTCTTCTATTCTGAGCATAAATTTTTCGATACACTTTGAAATCAGAAAAAAAGATGTTCGTCTTGTTGTGCCAATTAGCTGAAGATAAACACGTTTCCTCAGTTCACCAATTTCTCATGGGAAACCAAATCACAGCTTATATCGATCACGATCCATTCTATAACATATATGCACAAAGTAGACCTACATTTGCTTTCAGTCGACAACGTTTCTTTTAGGAAGCAGCAGCCATTAAAAACTAAAACCGTAAGGAAATGTAAATGAGTAGAACAGCTAAAAATACAGCGAGCATCGAAAAACGTTCGGCGCTGGCATATGGTTCAAGAGGGTGATTGCAAGAAACGGAACTTGATTGCTTAAGAAACAATGTGGTGTGTAAGTTTAAGTCAGCCTCGTAAATCTGAAGGCTTAATATGGATGGCAGATTTTGATACAGCACTCATAGCAAATCTTTCACTGGATCATTTATTTGTGAATGGCACTGCGACACCAGCGGACTGGAGAACGAGTGCTATTGTACCTGTATTCAAGAAGGGAGACCACAAGGAATGCTCCAATTATAGGGGCAAAACGTTACTAAGCCTCCCAGGTAAAGTCTACGCAAAGGTGTTAGAAAGGAGATGCCGTGAAATAGTTGAC